ACCACGGCCACACGGTCACATGGCCACACAGCCACGCAGCCACATGGCCACATGGCCACACGGTCACATGGCCACACGGCCACATGGCCACATGGCCACACAGCCACATGGCCACACAGCCACATGGCCACACAGCCACATGGCCACACGGCCACACAGCCACACGGCCACATGGCCACACGGCCACACAGCCACACGGCCACACAGCCACACGGCCACATGGCCACATGGCCACATGGCCACATGGACATGGGCAATCCTATAGGGCGGGGGCCCCCTGGGCGCTCCATGCTGGTGCACCGCCCAAAAAGGGAAGGGGGCACAGTGTAAGCCAAGGTGTCATCGTGGAAGGAAGCTGGGGACCAGGACTGCAGGTGGGTAGCTCAAGCAGATGTGGGAGCCAGCTCCTCATCCCAGCCACCTGCTTCTATATCATCAGAGCCTAGTATAGTACAAGCACCTCAGAAACCCAAAAGCAATGATCCACGCCTCAAGCTCTCGGGCAAAGGCATCCATGGGTTTTGCCCTTGCAGCTCCAATCAGAATCCTACTGCTTGCACACCTTCCATGCAGGGCAGCACTCCCTGCTTAAATGGATGCGTCAGCTGCGATTCCTGCATTGTTGTGGATACTGTACATGCTTGGTACAACATCATCCACTTCAATGGGACAAATCGTCCCTTTGACAGGGTTTTAAATGCAGATTGCAGGAAAAAAAGAAAACATAAAAGATAGTAATATGCGTGGCTGAATGCACGTCTTCACACAATAATGTACAGCACGGCTGTTCTGAAAATGGCCCATTTTTCCCCCGGTAGTGTACCCCCTAAAACCCTAAACCCCTAAAACCCTAAACCCCGCGATACCCTGAAACCTTAAACCCTGGGACCCCCGCAACCCTAAACCAGGAACCCTCGCAACCCTAGAGTTTGAAACCCTAAACCAGGAACCCTCGCAACCCTAGAGTTTGAAACCCTAAACCAGGAACCCTCGCAACCCTAGAGTTTGAAACCCTAAACCAGGAACCCTCGCAACCCTAGAGTGAAACCCTAAACCAGGAACCCGCGAAACCCTTAAGCTAGGAATCTGGATACCCTAAAACCAAACCAAAAACCAAAAATCCCAAAACCCTAAAACCCAAAACCCAAAACCCAAAACCCAAAGCCCTACAGGAAACCACCCTTACAGCGTTCGACACCCCGTACGGGGCCCGTAAGTTTTTGGCCTTTTTTCGGTATCCCCGTACGGGTCCGTAGGACTTTGCGGTGGCTCCCGTAAAGATTTTGGGGCGCGAAGCGCCCCGTACGGGGCCGCCCCCGAACAGGCCGAAGGCCGGTTACGGTGACTCCCGTAAGGAATTTAAGGATTTATAAGATGCCTTACGGGGCCCTGTAAGGGAGAGGACGCACCATATAAAGGATAAGGCCCAACACAGACGGACCATATAAAGGATAAATCCACACACTTGGAAGGCATAATTCATATTGCAATATTTAACTACACTTTTCATAATACTTTTATAGCTTCC